CGAAGAAAGAGGCTTGCACGCTGCTTAATTTGTGAGTAAGGCGAATGCACGTGCCCACTTTTGGTCGATGTTGCTTCCGCCTCATCAGCCATGCGTGTACTTAGTTATTCATGGCGGGATATGACTTTTGTCCTGTTTCTTCCTAGTGCAACGAGACCATAAAAATCGATCCCACTTTCTCACCTATATAGAGAGAAAGACCTTCATGGTAATACGGGTAATTGTGCCAGCAAGCAGGCGCCTACGTGCGACTGCTGCTGTCTTGACAAAAGCAAGCTGCTTTGTTCCGGGTCATCATCAGCATTTGGAAGCAAATTTATAGTGACACAAGGTAAATTCGCTTATGACGAGGATAGAGAAGAGGCGTGACACACACGATCGTAAAACACACAAGGGCTCATCCGACAAGCCAAGACTGCTACCTTAGTAAGAGAGAGAGAAACGAGAAAAGAGGAAGGCAGGGAGGTTAACCAGATGCTAGTATCCGGTATGCTACCCTACACTGGGGTTGGGGAATAGGGGGTTGAAAGAGAAAGGGAAAATTTATAGTCTTCTTTCCTCCTCTATTTTCCTAATTTTCTTTCTGTTCATCGAGACGACTTCCGTCTGCACATATGCTTCACTGACATCAAATAATCTATGTGATTGCTTTTAACCACATGGCACTTTCCCTGTGCACGCATCAGTTCACGTATCCTTGTCTTTCAGCAATCTATGTTCATCCCTTTTTCCCTGTACAACGCACCCAGTCCGACCCTTCTCAGTTTCGTGTTTTGGCTTAACCTGCTCACAAACATCCCACCCTTCCACCCTTTGTCAGCTGGATTTATCAACACTAATGAAGGAATAAAATATTATGGGAATGTTTTCCGAGGATCCTATGCCCACGCATAATAACGTTCTTGAAGGCCACATTTCATAGATATCGTCGACATGTCGGGCAGTCTATAGATAACCTGTAGTACTGTCTACACCTCGAGAAGTACCAAAACAACGTGACCTGTAGCGTACAGTAGGCATTCTTTACAGACAAATGAGTACGAGAACGTACAAGATCTCAGTCACCTAATGCAAAGGTAGGCTATGTATTCGAGCATCACAAACACTCACCTGTTTGCATGGTGAAGATGACGAAGGAAGACGTGAGCACCCACGTCGCATCGTCGGGCTTCATGCTCTTGGGGTCCACAATCATGGCTGCCGTCTACGCTTCCGGTTGATCGCAAACGCAGTGTAGGACCTCGTCAGGTATGCCGAACGAGTTCGAACACGACCTTACAGCTCACACAAACCACGGACACGCGTTCACTCTCGGTTTTCCGTTAGCCTCACTTCGTAAGAAGCAAGTGTGCCGTTGGTCACTACGTTGGTCAGTGACAGGGCCTCTTCTTTTTCTTTCTAATGCTGACCCTCTGATTCTTGACCAGCGATAGCACAGCGGTGACCTCGCTCGCGCTGACTTGAGGCGCGAGTGCGACGCGACTCGGCGACCGGCGACGTGTGAGCCGCGCCGGCTCGTAATCCCGGCGGTGCGGTGACGCGATGCTTGCTCGACGGGGCTCACGCGTCAGCTAGTGCGCCGTGGATCGGGCTGTTGCGACGCCTCTGGGGATTCGGCGCAGAGCTGACGAGTGTGCGGCGGAGCAGGATGTGAACGGGGATATTGGGAGGCTGAACGAAGGGACGGCGGCACGCGTCGGACGGCGCGAAGCCGGGAGAAAGAGAAAGGGGAGGGAAGGGTACCGAGTGAGAACGAAGGTAAGGAGAGCGGATCGGATGAGGGGGTGAAGCCACATATACTTTAGATTGAATTAATGCGTGCAGATAATGTCGCGCTTTAAGCTACTTTACGATTAATACGCACCCACTCGTCCACCTTGCTATCGTTCTAGGAAACGATGTTCCGGATGACATTGCATCCATCTCTAATTGTATAACTTTTTGGGATAACCTTCTCTCTTGGCGCGCTGGTATTGTATAACGTCGTTGCCCTTTCATATCTGTAATCTTTGTTTGGTTGTTGTTGTTTTTTCTTGGTTTATTGTGTCTAATATTCTTGGTCTAGCAATTATTGATGTCTCAGTGCCCTTCAAGGGCCTGTAAGGCATTTAAATAAATTGATAATAAAAGTTTGCAGTTGTTTTATGTACAAATGCAACCAACAAGCGAAGCTCTACATATGGGACGCAAATTAGCGTCGGCTGCGTTCGGTGGTGGGAACGACAATGCGCGTGAGTCTGCGGAGCGCGCGGCGCAGCGCAAGCCCTCTGCCGCTTCCAGTTATGCTCGGAACGCTTGCCCAGCGCAGGGGAGCTTCGATGGTGACGGCGGCGACAGCGGAGTGTGGTCCTAAGGAGCTTCGCTCGTGATAAATAAATAAATAAATAAATAAATAAATAAATAAATAAATAAATAAATAAATAAATAAATAAATAAATAAATAAATAAATAAATAAATAATAAATAAATGATATCTGTGAATTGGGGTGGCTGCCAAAAAGATAGCAATAGAAAAAAGGTGACAAAACGAGCGCCGACGCGAACAAGTTGACCACGTTATTCTGTCTGATGTTTGCGATGCTGTCGCATTTGGAAAACTCTGTTGCATACTGTTTATGCATTGCCACGCGGGCTGAGAGCTTGATCCCACATAGCCATGGTTTCAAATATGCCATGGTTTCAACCAAATTTCCGTCACCACATTCTTAGGAAGTTACGAGCGACCTCCGCAATCTGTTTTTTTTTTTCTCTACGCACATTTTCCATCTTTTCCACCTTCTGCTAAGCGTTCTCGCTTATCTTCCTTCTGCCTAATTTCCGGGCTATTGATCTTGTTGTCTACGTCTTCCTGAGGCAATGGATTGAAATCATGTAGCCTTCGTTGACAAAAAGCCTCCACTTAAGCGTCAGATATCAAGGACAAGGGTTCGATTCCCGACCACGGTGGCCGCAATGCGGTGCGGACAAAATGCTGGGACACCCGTGTACTTTGATTTATAGTGCCTGTTAAAGAACCTCAGGTGGTAGAAATCAATCCTTTGTTTCCCACTACAGCACGCCTCATAAAAATATGCTTGTTTTGAAGCGTAACGCCGGAGAAATTGTTACGAATAAAGAAAAGTCAGCACAGCGTGAGAAAAGTAACCATCATTATTTCTTAGCGTTGACCAGTGACGTACTCCCTTTCTAGTGTTAAGCAAACAAAATACAATAGCGTAGTCTACGCGTGTGTGCGGCTGTATGTGTTATGTGTTTATCAGTGTACATATCATATATATTATAATCATCCCCCAGCACCTCGAGTAGCATGTCAGGCGAAAAGCCAGACAAGGTTCTCCAGATCTTCATTGAAGATTTCTCTCTCTGTCTCTCTCTCCTTATCGATCCTATCCATCAAGTAAACTGTCTTGATGACATTTTCTCACTCGACAGCTTTTCCAACGTGGTAGTGGTGGTCATCGAAACTAGTGTAATACGATGTACTTATCGCACACTGTACGTACCAGTGGTCGACACAATCACCTGCACTGTCATTTCGAAGGAGCGAATGAGAGCTCCGTTAAGAACAGGTGAAATTGAGTGAGTGTGAATGTATGGAGAAACGTATGCTCCCGAGACTGAAATAAAAAAAAAAGCCACCGTGAAGCTCCTCATCCACAGAGAGAAAGGAAGTGCCCGACATAATCCTTGGCACGTGTAACGGTTATAATGACCCGGCTCTATTGGAGGAATGTTGACATTTACCGTTGCCTCACCTCCCGACAGGTCAATACAGCCATGCGCGCACACACACACACACACACACACACACACACACACACACACACACACACCACACACACACACACACACACACACACACGCACGCACACGCGTATATAAATATATATTATATATATATATATATATATATATATATATATATATATATATATATATATATATATATATATATATATATATATATATATATATATATATATATATAGGCGTCGCAAAATAAACAACGTCTGCCTGTTAAGACTGTCGTACCAGGAGGATATAAGGCCGCGGCGGCAGAAACAGTGATAAAATAGTGTCAACACCTTGAAGCTGTTTCTCGCTCTGACAGTATTGTTGCTCAAGCATGTCGCAATAGAGCAATAACCAACGGTCGGATCAAAGAGGATTCCTTCAGTGTGCTGCAGCCCGACTGCGTTGATTCTCTCCGTGCAATAAATTCCTGTTGGGACAAGCAGTGATTGATTGGATACTTAAGTAATATAATAATTGGTTGATTGATTGGTTGATCAAATGATACCAACCAAATTACCGATGAATTCTTCTAAAGAGAATTTTCGTACCCGGTGTATCTTGCACTTAAGATTAATCGATAGATATATAGATCGATGCCACCTTAACCACGTCAAAGTAGTTTTGACGTGGTTAACCACGTCAACCTACTTCTCAAGGAATCATTCAACGAGCCACCTACAATGCAATCACAAGTGAATGAAAGTCGAAATGCTGGCGTAAGTAACAGATATGTGCACTAAGGGCTGATTAAGTAGATCGCATTTGATAACTACCAGGGTCCCATCTGCATTGGCCCAAGGCGACGCGATGCTGAGAGCCATCCTATTTTTTTCGGAGTCGATGTTGCTCATCCTCTCCCTGCCCACCGAGAGCTTTCTGCACGTATACTGTGGTCTTTTTCCTGTCCCTTAATAGTGGATATGAATTGAGAGCTTTCTGCAATACGCCAAGTTTTACACTGCTTCCATGATTCGGCCCACCCTGATACCAAGCTATGATGCTATGTGATGACGTCATCATGTGACGTCATAGTCATCGCACAAATTTCGGCGTTCTGAGCCGTTTATGGATAATATGTTGGCGACATGACGTGGTGATGATTTTTCGGCATCACTCGTGTTGACGCCACTGACGTTTCACTTTTGCCTCTTGATGAGGCATCTCAGACTTACGCCTTAATCACTCACTGCTCAGAGTAGGGTGTTATCATCACCTGCTGTGCAGGTCATGGTTTATTGTAACATTGCACTCATTGCGCCCGGTCTAGGAAATGCGCTTTTGTGGGCGTTGGTCATCGCCTTCCGTAGCCGTATCCTCCGTGACCTCCGTAGCCTCCGTATCCTCCCCCGTGACCTCCGTGACCTCCGTAGCCTCCGTAGCCACCTCCGTGACCTCCGTAGCCTCCTCCGTGGCCTCCATAGCCACCGTGACCGCCGTAGCCACCGTAGCCGTGACCATGGTAGCCGGCGAGGGCAACAGCAGCCGTCAGTACGAGGACAGCGATGTAGGCGATGAAACGCTGCCGAAAATGCACACAATAATCAACTAGTATACTTGCTGGAGATAATTTCTAACTGAGCCATGGTGTTAGCTCGCGTCCTTTCGCTCGTCCCTTGCCATTCGATGTAAAGTGGACTACTAGATCTGCCACTGCTAACTTCTCCATACAACAGTAAGCTTTTTCTCTCCCTCTTTTAAACATCTATAGCGTCCACAAGAAGCACGATGTATCCACATACTTAATATAGACAATACAGTGATAGTGATATGAAAATATTGTACATATAACTTCGACACGTAACAGTGCTTCAGTTTTGAAGGCGAGTTCAGTTACCAGTCCCCACTATCATCACACGGCTTGATGTACACGTTGCTTTCTCCGTAAGCTTTGAAGTAATACTTCAAAAACCTCAAGAAAACTCCGCATTTTTACTGGGTGATTGTTCCTGCCATACAGATAAAAAGCGAATGTGTTCATGGTCGACAGGTGAGCAGCAAGGAAACTACAAAACCCTTTTCCGAATGAATATTACTACACTACCTAATATAAACGAAATCCTCTGAGACAGCACACGTGCTGTCTCCGAAAAGTGATATAGGCAAAGCTAGAATGTTATCGCAACACCGAACAGGCTTCCATAGTCTCGTTGACTCCCGTTAACCCTCAGTATGAGGATGAGCGTTGTAGAATGCCGACGATTCTAGCTTTGCGAAAATTTCAGGACTACCCCGCTGGTTTGTCTCTTTTCACATTGTAATGAACTAGTCTTTGTTATAACACTATTCGTCTAGTTCTATCACGAAGCCGTGATAGTTTCTATTTGAGAAACGACTGTGACGAGATATTCACTAAGTTTTTTTCTCGTGCTTGACACTAAGTGTATGGAGGGAAAGGATCGAGCTTTTTCATCGGTCCAATACTGAACAACGAAGCCGCGATAAGTAACAGAATGCCTTAAAAACCAATGCATTGAATTCAAACGGCTTGAACCGAGACGTATTAAATTTAAGGTCTGCATTATTAAGAAAAGACTCGACATATAATCAACGAGATGAAGTGAAAACAGTTGTTTTTCTTGGCACTGGAAGCATCTACTTAACAAAAATTTACGGCTTTCATTTTATAGCTGTACACTGAACTATATTGCTCACCATATTTCTCTTCTTCTTGTTGGGTGTTACTTGTCTGAGACGAAGAGACCGATGCTGACCTGGAGCCTCTGGTTCGGGTGTATATATACTAACAGACACCGCCCCTGAGGTCACGTGGATACTCCACGTGACTTTGAGGTGAGTTCGGAGCAGGATAACGAAAGCAGTTCGTCCAGAATAAGCAGGCGTGTTCATGGCGCACTCAACAATGCACGAAACGAAGCAGAAAAAATCAAAACGAAACAGTGTCAGTACGGACATTGTCAGTTGAAACTATAAAGCGTCGTGTTCAAGGAACCATGAATGCGGCCGCTAGCTGCACAAGCGTCGGCAGGCAAGCCTGCACTGATGCCACAGTGTCACTTCACGGTTTCAGGCACACAAAATCAGCAAACCAAGGAGTCCGTAGGAAAGTCGCGCCAGTAACAACTTCACGTTCTACCACCCATCCCCAAAACAAGGACAAAATGAACTGATGACAATTGCTTAAACAAAATCAAGAAAATAAAAAAAAAACAGTGAAACAAGAGAAGTCTAAACGAAAGTGCTTATCTTTCCTGGTTTTTGCATTTCTGTTTGGCGTGGGCGGGTGTCGGTGCGAACGTACGCAGGCTTGGCGGGGTGGGCTGTTCCGCAACGCACTCTCAACGCGTTGGAGCGTGGCGCGGCCGTATGACGCCGAGAAAGTGGCAGAGCGATACAAAATTGGCGGCGACACCGATGGCGCCAGTCGTCGTGGCCGTGCCTGCCGATGCGACGCGTAAGAGTCGACTTGTTCTCCTAATTGCCGTGTTTTCGCGTCGCGTTGTATTCGAGTAGGACCAGCTTCTCGACACGTGCAAGACCTGGTTCGCCGAAGCCACAATTGTTCGTCTGAGTTTAGACCGTCCAGACTGCGGACGTCGAGACGGGGAATAGCGTACAGTCGCGGCAGCTGGTACAGTCTCCCTGGGCTGCGGAACGATGCAAGTAATTTACGACTGCAACACTTAAGGCCGAGAAATGGCGCGAACAGAACGAGGACTCGTTACAAGGTGGGTCGTTGGATTCTGTTACAGTAGAGTTTGAAAACGAACTGCCAGTGTACTTGAACGCCATAATAAATATGCCATGGCCATACCACATCGGTGGCTAACTGGCATTGTCTCGCACGTTTATTAGCATTTTCTTTATTACTATATTGTATTCCACTCAAAGTGAAAATTGTTATTCTCTATAATTCTTCGATTTTGTTATTGTTTGTCGGTTTCATTTCATGAAAAGCTACGAAAAACGAACCCCTTAGTTGAAGTAATAGTCCGCCTCGATTTTATACAGGGGTTGTCAGGTACTTTTATCTAACACAGTCGACGTTGACCCGTACTGTGAGACAATTCACAGTTTTATGACATTCTGGGGATGCACGGTAAACGCTGCAAGGCGTGTTAGTGTGTTTTACTTTACCTCTCTTTCTTTCTCTACTTTTTCCCTCCCTCTTACCCCGTGTGGGGTAGCGAACCGGGGCCAACCCGGTTGATATCCCAGCCATTCCATTGCTTTTCTCTCTCTTTCTCTCTCTTTCCCTCTCTCTTACGGTGCTCGGCTACCGACAATAAAGCTGGCTTGATCCTGGCAGCGATGGTCTTATTTCGATTGAGGTGAAATGCTAGAGGCCCCTTTTCTACGCGATGCTATTGCACGTAAAAGGAGGCCCGATGGTGAAAACTTCCGGAGTCCTTTATCGCGGCATGCCTCGCAAAGTCATGTCATGGTTTCGGCACAACCCCAGAAATTATTTATGTTTGTTGCCTTCATATCATCACCACCTACGAAAAACTCGCCATGGTGGTGTGGTTATTGTGCAGCTTGGCTATAGACTGAACCGCATGGCTCGGGGTAGAATCCCAGCCGCAGCAACCGCATTTTCGATGAAAGCGAAAATGCTCAAGCAGCTTCACTTGGATTTAGATGCACGTTGAAGGTGAGCTTAAAAGAAGATTTGGGCGAACGCTGAAGTGAAACAGTGAACTGGTTTAGATTGAGAAAGTATTTTTTAGAGCTCTAATGTATTTAATCTTACCATCATTATTACAGGAGAAAATTAAGGTTAATGTATCATATTTAAATTCTGCGCCCTAGTTTGCACGCGTGATGTCACAAATTTAAAAGCGTACTTGTCGTATTTTACCGACATTGCTTCGACGAAATTTCTTGAAACATTGTATGCTAGCAGACATTAGGCTTCATTTTTCCTACGTAGCTCCAAAGTTAGGAGCTTCATGCCATTAAAATTTATGACGTCATGGCGGTTGATACAGGAACTTTAAGGTGGCATCGCCACCCACAATCTCTTTTTGATTGTTTTCTCGCTAAACAAGCGTCTTTTAGCGGTAAGCGTGCGAATTTTTGGGTTGTGCAAAAGCATACTGCTATTAAAAAGAAAAAATCGTTTTCCTCTTTTCTACGGCGTCTCTCCATAATCATATTGTGGTTTTGAAACGTTAGACCCCATCACCTATTATTTGTCACCTACGAAAATTGAGCCCCTTAGTTCAAGTAACCCTTTTCACTCACTGCTCATACATCCTGTGTCTGCTTCGAAGTGGCAGGCCTGCCACACTCAGATGGCCCGTACGTTTTCTTCGGAGTTCAACGTTGCCATTGTTTGTACGAGATCTTGGCGCCCTAACTGCCGTTGGGTACTCCCATTGTCATGATTATTAAACTAAAAGCACGAAGAAGATAAGATCTGTAGGTTTGTTGTTTACTCTTACGTTTGCGTCCAGCGTGACGCCTTCAATTTAAAGGGTTACGCTCCGCATACGCTATCATGGCTGCGAGCGGTGATACTCCCTTGCCGAGGTCTAAACATTTACATCAGCTAACACTCAAGAAAACTGACAGCTCGGCAACTGCGCCTCGACTCAATTGGAAAGAAATTGCATGCATCACGCGAATGTGGCTGCGTGTCGACTTCACTACATTGCCCATCTTATGCGCGGTCGTGTTTGCAGTCGCTATGGTGCCATCTGCTGCTGCAAGCCGGCGTTCGCAATGAGACGACCACCTATTAGCACTCGATACATGACAACCGATTCCACAAAGCTCCCATTCACTTCAAATTCAACAACGGCCTCACACAACGTATACATGCATCTCCACACCAATCGGAGAAAAAAAAATCTGTATTTACTTGACCTTCCATCTCGCTTTGCCTTAATTCTGTCCTTTAGCTTACAAGGTCAGAAGCTTATAGAAGTCAGGAAAACGCGGTTTACGCCGTGTTTTCCTGACTTCTGTTGTAACTCGGCTTCAGAGGTTAACTTAAAAATATTTTCTTGTTTATCACTCCCTCTCTCTCATACTTCTCGCTAGTTGGTCGAATTATGTTATACATGACATTACTCGAATGTCAGGTGGGCATACAGTTTACTTCATCTCGTTCACAAGCTCCTCAGTTACCGGTAATATCTCCAGTCGGCCGTTTAATAAGATATATAACTGTTATAACGTAAACATTACTGTACAACGCGTGATTCATGTTCATTAAAGCACATCGCGTGCGTCAGGACGGAGCCTTTTTTTTTTTTTGTACCCAGGAAATAGCTTGGCACTATTTATCTTTTGCACACTCTACATAAGAGTTACCAGAGTGGCTGTACATTCAGGTACCACACTCGCATCGCAGCTGACGTTGTGTGACTGTCTGGGACTAAGTCTGTCTTGAACCTTGGAGGGGGTCTTCGTCCAGGGAGTCATCTCAATAATGTTTTCCATAAAAAAGTACGATTAGATTTGGAAGTTACTTGAATTAAATAATGAAAATACTCGGAAAAAAGTATTACATGCTGCGATTTGAGCTATTCGAAGCAACACGCAAATTAAGGGGACTTCCGGGCTGAGCAGCTGATAACTAATTTCGACCACGTTCACTGCATTAACGTGCACTTGTAAGAGCACTCAGCTACCATAACAATGTGACCGCAATTACATGCTGTCGCACTAAGCAATGACCCATGATAATCACCTAACCACTATATGGCTGATGAGAAATAAAAAAAATACTCGCAACTTCGTAATTTTGAACCGATGGTTAGGACAGCGCGCAATTGTCTCTCCTCGTCTATTTTCCTGCATAACTTGTGACAAAAGGAGTGCGACACTTGCAGACAGAGTATGTATATATTACTTTGGCGTGACAGAAAACATACATATGTGCACTGAATCTTGTCTTTCTTTTTATTACTATTTTGTCTTCGTGTGTTTCCGTCGCATACGCATACTATCACGAAAGAATAGATATCATGTCCTAAAAAAATGGTTTACTACGATGTTTACTAGACTGAACAAGCAAACACATATTCTTGTGTGATGTACATGATGCCGAAATATTCCAACAACCATTATCGGTCAGTAGCAGCTGTAGTATTCAGCTGGGCAAGTTCTCGTTGCAAACTTACTCGCAGTGGTGTATTGCGGTAAAAGAGCGTGTTACTAGACAAGCGAAAGCCGAGGATTGCGCAAGACATGTTCCTCGTCGTCCTCGTCCTTACTGTTCCCTCGTATAAACACGCCGTTTTCGCGCAATGAACTACAACAAACTCTCCCAACTGATCATCTTGATTCGGTATACTGCTCGCAGGGGTTCAGAGAGGTCAACTACCACTACGGCAGACATGGGGGATACACGGCTAGGCAGTTTTCTCTCTTTTTTTGTATCCTAACATATAGCTTTCTTTCTGACGCCCCACCGCGGTGGTCTAGTGGCTAAGGTACTCGGCTGCTGACCCACAGGTCGTGGCATCGAATCTCGGCTGCGGCGGCTGCATTTCCGATGGAGGCGGAAATGTTGTAGGCCCGTGTGCTCGGATTTGGGTGCAAGTTAAAGAACCCCAGGTGGTCTAATTTTCCGGAGCCCTCCACTACGGCGTCTCTCATAATCATATGGTGGTTTGGGACGTTAAACCCCACATATCAATCAATCAATCATCCTTTCTGACGACGCCAAAGTCAAATCAAGAACTGACACAACCACAGCAAGCATGCACGGTCACAGTTGTTTATTCTAATTCGCATTCGCCGCCACTCTGTAGCTCGAGAATCTCCGTTAAATAACGGTACACGTGCGGGTGCCGAATCTCCGGGGCATTTCTCTGACGTAGTTTGTGACGTAGGCCGCCAGCCTGCCCTCGGGCCTTGGAGCGTCACGGTCCCGCGTGCCGAGCAAATACTCGTCGAAGATGCGCCGGTCCAAGCGTCCGCGATGCGTGATCGGAGGCACGTGACTGACGTCGACGCCTCGATTTTGGAAGCGAGCCAGCACCGCGTCGTAGTCGTAGTCGGGGTAGCTGAGGTTGTGCTCCATAAGGTCCGCGCCCAGCGCTTCTTCCAGCTCGGTCATGCGGATGGGCAACACGTAGTTAATGCCCTGGAGAGCAGAGCAGCAATAACAGCTTAGTATAGGTACGTATGCACTCGCAGCTGAAGACGTATACAGTATACGCCAAGGAAATGTAATATCGAACGCCGCAATGCCGAAACATGGTTTCACATAGGAGGAAAACTGGATTAACTTCCTCGGCGTCACGTCCGGCTGTGAGGAGCACGAATATGCACAGAAACAAGTCTCATTTTATTTAGAATATAATTAGTACAAGTTAATTAATAAATCACTAACGTATAATTTGTTGAAATGACACTGGACTAGATAAGCGTTTGCGATGAGCAGCTATGAGTCGCTGTATACGAAATGTATTCGTCCGTATACTGTGGGAAAAATTAGAAATGTGTGAGTGTACGTTTTTTAGCAATGTGAACTCCTGTGAGAGAACTGCAGATTACCATGTTATTCATTTTACTTGATCCTATTTTTATATGTTTTATTTGTTTACTCATTATTTATTTGGAAGTAACCATATTTTTTTTCTTCCTTTAGTTAACTTACAGAAATAATGTAGCTGAGCTGATATAGACTTCAACCTCTCTACACTGAGTCAGTTGAAACAACCGCTCGCGATCGAGAGCTCGCTATAAAGCAACATGAAGTTGGCACTACATGAGCTGCGCGTTTGAGTTTCACCTGCTAAATTGAAATTTTCAGGCAACAAACTCAGAGTATATCGAAGGCTTCGAAACGGCTTACGAATTTCTCTCACGTGTTCCAAATCACACTGACTGTCTAGCGGCTGAGAACAGCTTCAAAGCAGTGGTAGTGGTGCGCCGAAATTACGCCGCAACGGGACCGAGCTGGCTGCTAGGTTTTTCCGCGTATTTTCACGCTGTTAGAGGCCACCATTGTCACCATGGGTCTTTGTGTAAAGAGACTATAACGGTGAAGTGTAGGCACCTTCAGCAAGACGTATGAGGTGACAACGCTCCAAGCGGCGATGCAGAGCCCTGCGAGCGCCTGCACGCCGAGCAGGTAGGCACCGCCACCCTTGAAGAGGCCGCTGCGGCCAGACGTTAGGCGTAGTAGGGAGTCGGCGTCCGCGAACAAGCCGACGGCTAGCAGGCCCCAGATGCCACCCACGCCGTGCACGGCAACCGCACCGACGGGGTCGTCGATGCGTAGTCGTTCCAGGGCTGCCGGCACCCAGCAGGCGAATAGAGCGCCTGTCACTCCTACCACGATGCTCTCGTAGGCAGAGTAGAAACCCGAGCCGGCTGCATATCGCGTGAAAATTGCAGTGTTCGCTTTAGCAAACTATAGCATTGGGAGAATCAGATAATAGAGAGAGAGAGAGAGAGAGAGAGAGAGAGAGAGAGAGAGAGAGAGAGAGAGAGAGAGAGAGAGAGAGAGAAAGGCAGAGAGGTGAGCCTGGGTGATAGTATGCTTTAGCCTGCTACACACCATACAGCGGGGGAAGGGAACGGAGAAGAAAAACAGTAATTTGTGACGATGGTAGGTTGGTAGGTGAGTGTATACAGTCCAATTAAGTTAGCGCAATGTTATATATAGCCGTGCATCCGGTCCAGTCGCTTGTCGGAAGGATGTGACCGCTATTGCGACCACAGTTACACTGTTGGAATTAGGCCAAGGGCCCAACCCAACTTAATCAGTTAGAGGTCTGTTATGAAAATCATACAGCCGAAGAAATAGATTTTAGTTGGAGCACGGCTTAATAGTATAATATCTGTGGTTTTGACGTCCCGAAACCACCGTATGATTATGAGAGACGCCGCAACGGAGGTCTCCGGAAATTTCAACAATCTGGTGCATGTGCTGACATCGCACAGTGCAAGGGCCTCTATCGTTTCACCTCCATCGAAATGTGACCGCCTCGGCCGGGATCAAACCCATCACCTTCGGTTCAGCAGCTGTGTACCTTAACCACTGCTCCACCCGTTAAAGAATCTCAGGTGGCCAGAATTTCCGGAGCCCTCCACTACGGCGTCTCTCGTAATCATATGGTGGTTTTCGGGACGTTAGACCCCACATATCCATCAATCAACCACTGCCTCCACCGCAGCGGACATGGAGCATAGGTTAATGAAAGAATGTGTGGCGCGAACTGAGAACAAGAGAAGAAAAAGAAAAATTGGGGCAGATACTGTCGCAAAGCAGGGGCATTTTCGGGGGGAAGACGGGCGTACAACTATATATATACTTTATGTATGGTCGTGCGTGCGTTTCTATGTGTGCGTGTAGACATACGCAAGCAAAATTTAAAAATTTTTAGGGGGAGGGGTTGACCCCCCCCCCCCCTGGCTACGCCCATAGTGCGAGGACATATATTATGGTGGAGTTCAAAATGAAAGAAAAAAAAAGAACCCCGGCCCATGACTCAATGTATAACGGGCTATGGTGGGAGGACAGTGTTGGTCTTTCCTGTCTCCTTTCTCTCCTCCTCACCCCCACTTCTCTTTCTAGTCCAGCAAAGGCTACGCCCATAAAGTCTCCTAAATATACACTAGAGGGAACTCCGGCGCTACTGACTATGGGAGCTGAAACGCATAGCTATAGGGTGCCACCCTAGCATAGCACTTCGGCGAGCATGGGAATTATGGGTATGTCACGTATTTGCCTAGCCTTCGTACTTCGCGTGGCTTGAAGCTGCTTTGTCGCGAAACAACAGTCGGCAAATGTTTGGCAGTTACTCTTCACTACCTTAACCTTTTAGGCTTACCACTTCAAATCAGGTGACGAAGTGAAAAATGGTTTGTTCTTTGCTTCGAAACAATACCAAAACACAGCAATAAACGAAGCCACAAGTGCGGCCACCACCCGCAAGCACGAAGACTAGGCAAGTCCATGTCATACCTATAATTCTATAGGTCACTAACCGATCGCAGCGCCAGAGTCAACCCTAGCTAATTTTAGGAAACTCTATGGCAACGCTAGTCACGAACGAAGTAGACGCGCAGTGACGTCACGGCTTTACTTCGCCTACACAGCTGCGCAAGCTTGGAAAGTACGAAGAAGATATATGCGAAGGCGCGGAGCGGAGTGACGTTATGGCTAAGTACAGCAATTAGACTCTAATTACTCAATTACTCAATTAGACTCCGCGTGACTCCACGTGGCTGAGTCACGTGGAGTCGGCGCAGTCGAGGCACACCTGTGCGGAGCTCGGCAGAGCCAGGCGCTGACTTTCCAGGTGATTGCTAGGCAACGCGCAGTGACTTCAGAGCTCGGCGCAGTTTCATGTACACACCTTGAAGCCAAACCTCGAGGGTCTAACAGCTCCACTATTAAATTAAGAAGAAGTAGTCATGACAGGGCGTCTTGGTGCCTCGTTTTAGTGTCGTGTTTATCACGCCTACATGGGTGGTTTGGTTAAAACACAGTTTGGTGTACATCATCCCCGTCTCCACGGAATTTGAAGAAATCGAGATTAAATCATGATATGTAATTACTCACCTAGAACTTTATTTCAATCACCGGTGGGACAGCGTTTCGCTTTTTCATTGTAGAATTCGCTTAATGATGGCAATCCTTTACATTTTATTTTTTAAGCACTTATGGCTGCATCGACGAGTTCAGCGCTTGCATATATCAGGAATGTATGTAACAAGGTCTGCTGAGCTGCCACGGCGAACACTGAAGACGTTCCTGTTCGTTTATTAACAAGCGCCAAGTAGTAGACCTGCTGAAATCGATTAGTTACCTTTTAGGAAATCTTGCATGCTTATATCGCTACACAAGCAAAATTTAAAAATTTTTAGGGGGAGGGCTTGACCTCCCCCCCTGGCTACGCCCATAGTGCAAGGACATGTATTATGGTGGAGTTCAAAACGAAAGAAAAAAAGAACCTTTTAGGAAATCTTGCATGCTTATATCGCTACCTCATGAAAAAAAATTGTGTCCTTGTAACCGAAAAAACAAGAAAAAGGAAACATGAAAATTGTAATTTCGTGTTCAGCCACAATTCAAGCTACACTTCGAAGTTTAGCACATTTAGTATGGTGCTGTCGATCAAGACGATCAAAACACAGAAGACGGACGGTACAAGCCTTCTTTCTGCAAAAGCAAGCACTTTCATTTTCTTTACACTTACCGTTCATTCATAGGCGTTAATTATTGTGGTGAGGACCATTCTGAAATGCTTCATACAGAAGTGAAACTATAGGACGTACCGAAATGAACCAACTCGCTAAAAAATAAATATTGATCGAGTGAAACTCTGCCGAAGCTTTTCGTTTCGCTCACTCCGCGAGCGATCGCAACGCCAATTAGTCATCTCGTGAGCGGCATATCTGTCGTTGAGACAAATCAAATTTCATGCAAAAACATGAAGAAAAAACACGATTCTCACCAGTGACGGCAACAAGGGCTGTCAAGATGGCGTTCACTATGTCGTCGACAAGAAATTTGCGCGTCATGAAGTACCTGTAACAAAACACCAAGACGGTTCTGAATTAAGCAAGGTAACCTTCAGGGGCGTGGCCAGGGGGTGCCACACCGGGCTCGTGCCCCCTTCCCCGCCACCGAAAATATTTTTCGCCATAGCATATAGAACACAATGTAACACACTACCACACCTGCCTGTCCGGCCGCAATTCAGATCAAAGTGGTGTATCTCAACCTACCCCCACCCCCAAGTAACCTTTAGAGCCAGATAAATTTCTAGAATCTTCTTTCTAAAGTTGTAAAGCCTCTTTAGCAACTTCGAACGTCCACTCTACAAGAACGAAGAGCGCAAGCTCAATAAAGTCTAACTCGTTGTTTTTTCAAGCTGAAAAAAGCGCGAAAGGTACTTTTCTTCACCTTTGCTTTTTCAAGGAGATTTACATGGAAGTTTATAAAGGGCGACTAGACATCTCTTAACTAACAATAACTTACGAGACTTGACCTCTACGCTTCGTGACGCGCAAGCTTCTTTTTTTCTTGGTTGTTGCACCTATATAATTGAAGTAGCCGCGGTGATGTAAACGTCAACTTTTCCACGGCAAACCAGTTAAGGCAAAAACAGAACGGCATCGCAGAAGGGAAATCCTTAAAAATGTATAGTTGCGTGGAAAGGGGGGGGGGGGATAAGTAGGGCTGTTCTATCTGTTCAAGCAGCCTGTTATTTTTTTCTCTATGAAAGATAGGATTCTTAAGGCCACCAACAAACTACACACCATCATAACACAGGTGTGCCTAGGGGCTAAGAAATAATGAAACGCTCTGGTTACAATTATGCAGGTGTGGACGGAAAGCTGGAGTTAAGGAAAGTACTAAAAGCTGGCCACGAGAAAAAACAAACACTTCGAGAGCAAAAACTTTTCTGTGGCTTCTAACATGTCTCGCGATCATGAAGCACTTTATAAACACTGTAATTGCGTTAACGAAACTTGCAGCAATCTTGAAGAATGGTTAGTCAAGTTATTGCCACTCTTAAGGCTTTTAACGGCCCCTACTCGAAATAAACATGTTCAAATGTTATAGCAACAACAGTCAAGTTCGGGGACTCATCTTATCTCTTGGCTAGGAAATTGTTAGGAGTCTTCATTACAAATAATTTAATTGAAACGGGAGAACTTGGTATCTAAGGACGTGCAAAAAGCAGGATTAAGAGCACAATATCAGCAGCGACTTCAACAGAAACACAGTTGTAACTTACCTTGCTGGCAGCTCGCAGAATATTCTCTTTATCCTCTGAATTCTCCCTGATATGGTAAGCTATAGGCTTACTGTTTCATTTCAGTATCAAAAGGTGCAAAGCATACCATGTCATTATGTACATGGGCAGAAATATCTTTCGCATAGTACCACACTCATGAAGACAAAGCTTGTAGAATACGTACGAATAGAAGACTCCAACAATGCCTCCGCCCAGAGAAGCGTTTATCGTTGTCACTGCTGCCCTGAAATATACGGTAAAAGAATATAGATACGTCTTTAATCTTCCTTTTTCAGAGGACAGAGGGTTTCGATTATAGCAGAGCCAATGCACCTCATTTTTTTTGCATAATTAGGCGAAGATTGCAGCAGGAAGGCGCAGCGTAAATGAAACAAAGGTCGAAGAACATACACCACGAACGAGTGCTGACTAACAACTCACTGTGGTTTGGGAGTTCTTCCTTCGTCTCAGTCGCGCTGTGCCTTCGTATTTCTATGAACTAACCCTCCCTGCAGATCAGAGTCCTAGTGCAGATTGCTTTTTCTTTATGAAAAGGTATGAAGTGAAATGAGATGCGTACGCCGGCAGTTAAGCACGGGAATACATACCTGGACGCGTACTTCCATTTGTCGTGCCTGACGCCAAACGAGCTGCCGCAGTTGAATACAAGCCACCCCCACCTGCGCACACGCATCGGGTGTATTGAGGAGTCCACAATACATTTCAGATTGCTTTGGTAGCCTGGTCGGCAAGCTTCTATTGCTCGCGGCTTGTTCGGCGGTGGCTGCTGGCGTGTACACCAGTGTTGCAAGTGTATAGTGTACTCTTCTACGGTCACCACTCAATGTCGCTTCTCCGGTCACCTATCCTGTGATTCTAACAATGCTACGCGTTTATGGTGCACGCCGAGGGTTTTTTTTTTTCTCTTACTTCACAATAAATAATGCGATTCCAACAATGCTCACAACATTTTCAATGGCCCGCGCGCTCGCCTTTTCAAGACTATGTCCACTTCGTCCAGGTCACTTTGTAGGCATGGCAGCACTTTACAAGTTCCTACGATAAGTTTTACGCACAGGTACAGATATCCTCCCAAGAGCCCTCCCCTGCCTGCTCTCAACCCCGTTGAAAAACACCTGATAGCTCCACGTCTGCCATTTATGAGCGCTAGGCATTTGACTCGACTCTTGGCACTGGCCAGTATGGCATAAAGGGGCAGGAGGTTAACGTGCCGATCGACGTGGCCAACACTGTGCAGTGCCGGTCGCGGAACGTGCCCAACAACGCTGCCTTCAACGTGCTCAACATGTACCAGCTCGTTAACAAGACCGTTTCTACAGAAATAGTTTCGCCAAAAAACGTCCCATGCATCTCCGAGCGAGCTCATCTAACATATTTCACTTTGTGATTATAGCGGTGGTTTTTTACAGCCATGGTTTTCGGGTAATATCGATTCTACTGTGAAAACTTCCGTAAGAAGATAGCAGCTTCACCTATAGGGTTAAGCAGTGACAAAAACGGATTAGAGAAACTTCAACAGCCGCCATTAGCGATTCTTGAATTTCGTTTATTTTGTGTTGTTTAGAAAGAACGCTGAGAAGGCCTCTTACGAATACTTCAATACATGCAAATGGGTGACAGTCACGACGAAAGACCTGTGAATGATGAAATCTTCATGAACTCACATCGGTGCGCAAAGTGGCGCCCTTCTTGCGCTGTTTTGTGCAATCATCAAAGCGCCTGGACGCACCGGTGAACACGCATGCGGCTTGTCTAAGATGAAATTAGGTAGAGAAGGTGTGTGCTTACCAAAGCGTGAATGTTCCTAGCAGCACGTTAGTAGGGCGACTCATCTGCTGGACCCTGTCGTCCTTGGCATCGCCGAAACGACCACGTCTCGGACCCAGGAGCACGGCGGCTACCAGGGCGGACGCACCACCGAGCAGGTGGACGCAGCCAGAACCGGCGAAGTCTATGGCGCCCATCTTCTTCAGGAAGCCGTGGTCCCCCCAAACCCAGCCGGCCGGGATGCAGTACACGATGGTGTTCAACAACGAGAACACGCAGTAGGCGTTGTAGTTAGCCCGCTCAGCCATCGCGCCGGACACGATAGTGGTGGCCGTGGTTGAAAATGACAGCTGGAAGATGAAGCTTGAAAACACGAGGCCCATATCGTCCGGCTCGGCGTCCACCATAAACCGACCGACGGCGCTGAAGTCGTTGTCGGGGCTACTGCCCGTACCATGCTGCAGGCCGAAACCGAATAGCCAGTAAGTGAGGCCACCCAGGATCACGTCGGCGGCGTTCTTCATGAGGATGTTGACCTCGTTTTTCTGCGACACGCAGCCGGACTCGAGAAGGCCGAAGCCTGCGCCGCGAAGTTTTGTGGCTGTTATGCTCGGCGTAGACTAAAAACAACGAGAGTGAAATGTGTCTGAGGCAGTCCGAACATGGAGGCAAAGTGACAGGCACGCCCACGCAGGCGAAAGTGTGAAGCCCGCCTGAGTAGAGGTAGCTTCTATAAAGCGGCATGTGTGGGCTTTCGAGACGGCAGTTACATCTTGTTGTGTAACTGTTTCATTGTGAAAGGTCTGCAGGTGCGGTGTGCACCGGCAATATTGTTCACTGTTTTGTGATTAAAAAAATTAAATAGAACTTGTAACCCCGACGCATTAGAAATCAGCATTTTTCTCAACTGTCGCGCCGAGACAGTCTTGAAGCAGCATCACATTAATAGCACAAAGCAGGTTGAAGCTACGTTATATTTCACAGCAACCAAATTAGGCTATGAATTCACAAAGCCTTATGTTTTTGAGTGCTTTTGGTTATTGGCTGAGGGCTTTCATTGTGCAAGTACAGCGCTATATTTCTCTAGTGAACATTGTGGTTACTTAGTACAATGCCAACGGTCTTTGATTTGACGCGAACACATGGACCCACGCTAACCGCTAGCCAAGTCAATCAGAATATGAAAATGCTGTTTTATTAAGCCACCATTGCGATATCAACCCTAAACGCGACATAAAAGACATTTATTAATTTCCCGACCTGGACACTTCTTGTGAGTTCCTCATTAACGGTGTTTGCGCTGGCTTCAGCTGATTGTGATATGCATGTCCGTCAAAATGACCACAGCCTATGCAATGATTGGTCGGCATCGCATGCATTTGTAATTGCAACAGTAATTAAAATCGGGTGTATCAACTCTCCTCTCCCTCCATCGCAATGCATTTATATGCATGATGTCAAGCGGACTTCTAGATTTTCACGTTTCGAACGAAATAAAGAATAAAAGCCCCAAAGTGTGGGTTTCACGTTCTTTGGAGTCCGCTCCCGTTCCTCTATTTTCGGTGGTCTGACGACGAAAGAAACCTAGCTACACTTTGTGTCACGTCTTTCGCCATGAATAATTTGTAAGCCCTGAAACAAGCATTGGAGGCGTGAGGAAAGGACATTGCGTTATCACAGTCCTCTACGCTGGAGGAATGAATTTTCCGCCTAACAACAAGCTACGTCCACCTTCCGTATTCCCGCAGAACTCATTTGCAGTGAATGTCGTATTGGTCTGCCATTAATAAAAACAGAGCGCTAACTGAGCTGCAGTCAACTGAGCTGCCGTCACGACAGTCAGGAGAAAACTAGTGTGTTGAACTATACGCTACGCATGTTATATGTGGAAGAGCCAGATACGGTAAAAATAAGGTAGTTTTTACTGTATTCATGCTGCTGTAATGTTTAATTGCTTGGTTGCCCTCTATTCCACCATTTTTCGCACTCACAAAAGGCAGGGAAATGTTTTTATGCATGCATTGAGCTCTGAGATATGATTTAGTGACCTACAACCTCCAAATTTATCAGTCATGACGTGATCGCGCAAAAGTCTTTTTCTAATTTTCTATAGTTGAGGAATGAGCGGGCCTTTTCGGCGACATGTATTCTTGGAAAGTTCGGTACAAAACTAATAGGCAGTGGTCACTGTTAGTAGCACAGTCTAAAGTTTGCCACGAACATATATTAGAGATGAGCTTGAAAATGTCAAGTCAATTACAGATTTAGAGAGACCTCGGACAAAAGTAGCAGATTGCGAATTCAAACAAGATAAATTCTTGTCAATAGCCCATTCCCAAAAGCGTTTTCCGCTTAAATCTGTTTTAAAACCACCACCACCACCACCACCACCCTAAAACCCCAGGCCACATGATGTGAATTGAAGTCTCCAGTGAATAATATATCCTTTCTGCAGGCAGAGAACATATCGTCTAGACTTCGTGTGTCTTGCACCCCGGCTGGGAAATACGCATTTACAAACGACAAGGGAGAAGCGTCTGGTAATATTATGTCTACTATCAAAATTTCACAATCTGGAGTCACACAACGATAAGAGATCGTAGCTTTGTGACTAAACTTAGTTGCTATCAAGACAGCAAGCCCACCACCTCTGCTAGGTCGGTCCAATCGAAATAGCTGATAATTTTTTAGGTAAAACTTCTGGCTGGTTGAAAGCCAGGTTTCTTGCAGTGATATAATATCCGGGGAAAGTTGTGAAGAAAGGTATGATAGGCCTGTGGCTGCGGAAAATATAGATCTGCAATTCCACTGTATATGGTTAGTGAACTATTTTGACGACAGAACCATCGCAGAAACTGCTTAGTCCAAAATGTCCTTTCGCAAAAAGTCTTCTTAGACATGTCTCAAAGAATTCTTTTTTGGATAGATACTTTTAGATTTCGAATTATGCGAAGAGTTTTTTGATCGGGGAGATTGGGTTCGCTTCAGAGTCTTATGAGAGTCCATATCCATATCTGCACATGCTTCCGAATCATTCGTAAGATCACCGTCTTCCGTTGTTTTGGAAGTCACTGCCTCAGGAGAAACCGCTCGCTGACGTGTTGTCGAACTTTCTATTTCCGTACGCTGCAGTACCAATGATGTCTGAGGAGCCCAATCGTTCGTAGATGCTACACCTAGAATTTTAGATAGTTAATTGGAAACCAATTGTGCCAAGCCTTCAAAAAGGTTGTTTGCGAGGCGCTCCATTGCCTTTTCCATAGCCTTCTCTACGGCCTCTGCGATAGATGTTGCGAGAGATGCATCCATGGCGGTGGTATTACGTGCTGCAACACCTGCATATCCTTTGGATCTCTCCTGCATTTCTGCAACGGCCTCTCTCCGAGAGCACCTCTTGCGTTCTACAATATCCAATATGGCAAGCTCCCTTTCTTTTGCTGCACAGTCTGCGGAGTCTGCAGGGTGCGCCCCATTACATAAGCAGCACCTCTCTTTTTCAGAGCTGCACATGCGGCTGTCATGATTTTCACCACACTAACGGCATCTAAGAACTGATCGGCACCCTCTGACGCTATGTCCATATCGCCAGCATTTCAAACACTGCAGGGGTTTGGGGGAAAGTGGCTATACCTTATAGATCAGTGGTCATGCCTTAATTTCGGAAGGTCGGACTGTTCCTAAAAAGGTCACTATCACCGATTCCGTTGGGGGTTTTATGTTGTCAATTGTACGGGTGCACCTGTACACTGAAATTGCACCCGCCACCGAAAACAAATCGAGCACTTCTGCAGGTGTCAGGCTTGTGTCTACACCGCGGACTAATCCTTTCGAGCATGTGAGGTGTGCTGGAATAAATGGGCTTACCGGATGCGCTGCGAATTCGGAACATTGCAGGAGCTCACGAATGCATTCCTGATCTGCGGAACAGCACAGAATGCCTCCGCGACCAAACTGGCGGACCTCAGTGATCTCCTGGAGATGCGAAGTGGCTTTTCGAAGCTCCACTTGAATCGCCTTAGGATTCTTCATCGGAATACTGCCCCCATCTGTAGGTACCAGCGCCACAGGGACACTTCTCGCTCCACTGCGTAACAAATAGTCTATCGGCCAATCCTTGGCGGGAGTGGAAGCTAACCAAGGGGAGTGCCCTTGGCCGGGGGAAGAAAATGACATCAAGATTGAATGACTCACTTCAGCTGAGAAATACCAATACAGTTACCTTTTCGAGATTATGTCCACTTCGTCATCGTCACTTTGTAGGCACGGCAGCACTTTACAAGTTCCTACAATAGGTTTTGAAGCACAGGTACAGATATCCTCCCAAGCACTCTCCCCTGTCTGCTCTCAACCTTTTTGAAAAACACCTGATAGCTCCACGTCTGCCATAGGCATTTGACTCACGGCACTGGCCGGTATGGCATAAAGGGTCAGGGGATTAAAGTGCCAATAGACGTGGCCAACATTGTGCAGTGCCGGTCGCGGAACTTCCCCAACAACGCTGCCTTCGACGTACACAACATGTGCCAGCTCGTTAACAAGATCATTCCTACAGAAATCGTCTCGCCCAAAAACGTTCCATGCACCTCCGAGTGAGTTGCTCTAACGTATTTCACGTTGTGTATATCGTGATGGTTTTCTACAGCCATGGTTTTCGTGTTATATCAATTTTACGATGAAAACTTCCGTAAGAAGATGTAGCAGCTTCGCCTATATAGGGTGAAGCAGTGACGAAAACGGATTAGGGAAATTTAAACAGCCGTCATGAGCGATTCTTGAATTTTGTTTATTTTTTTATTGTTTCGAAAGAACGCTGAAAAGGCCTCTTACGAATACTTCCATACATGCAAATGGGTGACAGTCGAGACGAAAGACCTGTGAATCACGAAATCTTCATCAAATGGCACCAGTGCGCAAAGTGGCGCCCTTGTTGCGCGGTTTCGTGCAATGCCTATAGACGCACCGGTGAACACCCGGGCGATTTGTCGAAGTTGACATTAGGTAGAGAAGGTGCATGCTCACCAAAGCGTGAATGTTCCTAGCAGCACGTTAGTAGGGCGACTCATCTGCTGGACCCTGTCGTCCTTGGCATCGCCGAAACGACCACGTCTCGGACCCAGGAGCACGGCGGCTACCAGGGCGGACGCACCACCGAGCAGGTGGACGCAGCCAGAACCGGCGAAGTCTATGGCACCCATCTTCTTCAGGAAGCCGTGGTCCCCCCAAACCCAGCCGGCCGGGATGCAGTACACGATGGTGTTCAACAACGAGAACACGCAGTAGGCGTTGTAGTTAGCCCGCTCAGCCATCGCGCCGGACACGATAGTGGTGGCCGTGGTTGAAAATGACAGCTGGAAGATGAAGCTTGAAAACACGAGGCCCATATCGTCCGGCTCGGCGTCCACCATAAACCGACCGACGGCGCTGAAGTCGTTGTCGGGGCTACTGCCCGTACCATGCTGCAGGCCGAAACCGAATAGCCAGTAAGTGAGGCCACCCAAGATGACGTCGGCGGCGTTCTTCATGAGGATGTTGACCTCGTTTTTCTGCGACACGCAGCCGGACTCGAGAAGGCCGAAGCCTGCGCCGCGAAGTTTTGTGGCTGTCATGCTCGGCGTATACTAAACACAACGAGAGTTAAATATGTCTGTGGCATTCCGAACATGGAGACAAAGTCACAGGCACGCCCACGCAGGCGAAAGTGTGAAGCGGCGCCTGAGTAGAGGTAGCTTCTATAAAGCGGCCTGTTTGCGCTTTCGAGACGGCAATTATGTCTTGTTGTGGAACTGTTTCATTGTGAAAGGTCTGCAGGTGCGGTGTGCACCGGCAATATTGTTCACTGTTTTGTGATTAAAAAAATTAAATAAAATTTACCTTAAGTAACAAAGCCTTATGTTCTTGAGTGCTTTTGGCTATTGGCTGAGGGCTTTCATTGTGCGAGTACAGCGCTATATTTCTCTAGTGAACATTGTGGTTACTTAGTACAACGCCAACGGTCCTCGATTTGACGTCAACACATGGACCCACGCTAACCGCTAGCCAAGTCAATCAGAATATGAAAATGCCGTTTTATTAAGCCCCCATTGCGATATCAACCCTAAACGCGACATAGAAGACATTTATGCATTTCCCGACCTGGGCACTTCTTGTGAGTTCCTCATTATCAGTGTTTGCGCTGGCTTCAGCTGATTGTGATATGCATGTTCGTCAAAATGACCACAGCCTATGCAATGATTGGTCGGCATCGACTGCATTTGTAATTGCAACAGTAATTAAAATCGGGTGTATCAACTCTCTTCTTCCTCCATCGCAATGCATTTATGTGCATGATGTCAAGCGGACTTCTAGATTTTCGCGTATCGAACGAAAATAAAATAAAGTCCCAAAGTGTGGGTTTCGCGTTGTTTGGAGTCCGCTCCCGTTCCTCTATTTTCGCTGGTCTGACGACGAAAGAAACCTAGCTACACTTTGTGTCATGTCTTTCGCCATGAATAATTTGTAAGCACTGAAACAAGCATTGGAGGCGTGAGTCAAGGACATTGTGTTATCACAGTCCTCTACGCTGGCGGAATGAATTCTCCACCTAACAATAAGCTACGTCCACCTTCCGTAATTCCGCAGAACTCATTTGCAGCGAATGCCATACTGATCTGTCATTAATAAAAACAGAGCACTAACTGAGCTGTCGTCAACTGAGCTGCCATCACGACAGTCAGGAGCAAACTAGTGTGTCGAACCGTGCTACGCATGTCATATGTGGCAGAGCCAGATACCGTAACGACAAGGTCGTTATTAGGGTATCCATGCTGCTGTAATATTTAATTGATTGTTCACCCTCTATTCCACCGTTTCTCATGCTCACAAAAGGCAGGGAAATGTTTTTTTAATACATACATTGTGCTCTGAGATATGATTTAGCGACATACCACCTTCAACATTATCAGTCACGACGTGATCAGGCAAGGATAGCACTGAATTGAGTAAGCATGAACATTGTTATAGGCTAAGTTTAGCCAATGTTATATCATGTTCAAACGGTTTCAATCGGTGTCGGCGTCAGTTAGGAAACACAGATTAATTAGGGCTAACATTGATGACACGAAAAGAGAGGAGGTGCGTGCATCTTACCGGTTTGCATAGTAAATATAACTATGGCCGCTGTCAACACCCATGTCGCATCGTCGTACGTGAACTCTTCGTACGGCTCGGCAGTCGGAGAAACTGTGGTGTCTTCTTCAGTGTCGGGTGCGGCGGGCATGCTTGTTGCTCTACCAACAAGGACACAGTGTTCCTCAGTGTCCTTAAAAGTGCACCTCTATCTTTTGGCTGGCATGCCCCTTAGCTGCCAGTTTGAGTGGCATCAAATGAAGTTCGGGGAGCGTGTGGATCGAATCGGACCGATGAAAAACTTGGTCCATAAATTTTTAACGCTGCGTTTTCGTGCTTGCACAAAAGCGGGTTCTTGGCCGTGTCCGAATGGACCCACAAAGAAATCGGTAATGGTGTTTCTCCGTTTCATTTCAACGGTAGCGTGAAGGAACGCACCTTGTTTAACCTAAGTATTGATTGAATGTCTCCGTCCAAGGTTGTTTTAATCTTTCTTCGGGAACGAGCGGGGCCTGTGAAATGGACACAGCGGCAGTTCAATGTAACTATTATCAAACAGCAGGGACAAGAACTTCTCTCAACAGCGCAAGATCTTATGTAGGGCATACAGGACGGTGTTTAAACATTAGCAGAATAAGAGGACACGGATGCGTGACTGACATGCTGCCGTCTCCAGGCCATTTAGTGGCGCATTGCGTACCATTCCAGTGTAAACCTACGTTTAACGATTCCAAGACCTTTGATCGTTATAAGTGAAAAAAAAAATGACGAGTAATCAAGGAAGCATATTTTATACTAAAAATGATTCGTCAAACGTCGTGAACTCTCATTTCAAGGTGCTGGGAAACCGAGCTTTTAGTTTTGTAGACGCCCATTTTGTCAATCCACATATGTTTTCTAGAATCCCAGTTGAGCGCACCTAAATACTGTTTCTTTTTCATGTTTTATGGGTTTTTATTTGCCTGTCACCCTTATATATTTGTTGGTGTATATAGGTCATGTATTGTAAGCAATAAACAGTTCCAAGTCTGCGCACTTACGTATCCTGTCTTCTCGTTTTGTCCAGGTGTTTCAGTATAGTGCACCAAAAGAACGAAGAAAACGAACATACTCTGCGTTTTCATTGGCTTTATTGTT